ATTTTAAGTAGCTCAATATGAAACTCCTCATCTCCAGTTTGGTTTACTTTGAATTTATTGTTAAAATACTTTCTTGATTTCAAGGAAATTTACATATCCTTAGAAATGAAAGTCACTTACTCAAATCATTTAATTCAGAAGATTTAACATAATATCGAACTCCACTAGTCTTTACTTCGTAAGAAGCAGGATATGAGGTGATAAATAAAGCATCAGTTAGCGATTGGGATCAATAATTTCTAAAATTGAAGTTGTTGGATTTTTCGGAGTGCCTCCAACCATTTTATTGATTTAAGTCCAATCACATATTGAAATAAGGTGTCGAGAATACTATATACTTAACGACGGATTTTTCTTATCCATATAAGTTGTACGAATATCAAAGATTTCACTTCATAACTTCGAATTACAGTCACCAATAATTATGTTATAGATAGATTTTCTTAAGTTCTAGTAGCAAACTATGTTTCATTGAACTAACTAAGTCCAAAGTAGTACAATTACCAGTTACATAAGATATCGATAATACTACATCACAAACTGATATATGTCATGCTATTAAATTAATCAACATAGGTGATAATTGAGTTGTAAAATTTTCTTAGTTCTGTGTTAATCATATTTCTGGAAAAAGTACGATTGATTTAATGAATGAAAAAGCTTCATCCCGTTCAAACAGCATCATAAGAGTACTTACTATTCTCTGAAGTTGACATCATTTATACGAATGTAAATATGCTTGAATTCATCGCCGTTTTCTGTTGAACTCTATTTCAAGCGCATAGAAATAAAGTAAATTTCCAGACATTTGTGCTCATGTCTGTTCAATATCTCATCAATAAAGTGATTACAAGCGTTTATATCAATTACTTACTGTTTGAATTATTTTTTCTGGTTAGTGCTTTTTTAGCTAGTTAGTTTTCTAGGGGATGAGATCGATAACCCCATGCCCAACCCTCCTCCCTTATCCGGGCTTGGGACCAGCAGTAGCCCCAGTGGGTCTCCAGTCTGAGTTATTTATATCAGTCCGTAGAGTAAAAATAAGTAACAGACACATTTAAGCTAATTATTTACGTATATCCATCAACTTGTTGTTAAATCTATATAGTACAAATTAATCCGTCATATTTTTTCGAGGACATATGTGATTAAATTATATACTAATTATATATATATATTATATATATACTAATTTAACATTCATCTACATGTAATTTAAATGGTTTCAGATAAAGCTTCACATAATTAACTGAAAGACAACCACCTTTATTCTCCCGTGATTACTACTATATACTCTCGGTTCACTTCTGTCAAATATCCGGATGAAATTTGGAGACAAACTCGGTATCAAGGGAGGTTTCTCTGAAAACTGATGTTATCTAAACAGAAAGTCCGACGGCGCTGTAAACTTGTGTATCATAAAACAAAAATAGCCGATATTTGCCTTCAAAAGGTATGCCGGATCATCTAGTTGGTTGATTTTACAAGGATAAAAAGATGGATCGAGTGTTCCAACCTCATACAACTGATTATCTATTCCGAAAAATCACCGTTTGACAGTCAACCGAATTCTTCCAAGTTACTTCTGATTCCCCTAGACCATCAAAACATTAGCTGTTTATGAGATGACTCCTGGTTTTTTCAGACACAACCAGTCTATTCGATGTTTCTTTTTACTGTGAATAAAACTTGAAGAATTTGCTCTTCTTTTCAGACTAACTTTTGGACTCCTATTTTACATCCCGAGATAGTGTTGTTTCGTGTCATCTTTTAGATAATTTGAACTTAAGATCAACTTTTACTCTAACAAACATATCTTACTCATATTATTTGTCGTGCCATTTTTTAAATTAAACTTTTGCTTGCTCCTCTTTTGAACAGATCTTGTATAACAATTAAAATACTAAGGACTTGTTTACCAATTACTAATAATACCACTTTTGCGTTTATTGTCATTTTGACTGATCAGTGAATTAAATAAATGTGGTTATAAAAATAATATCAACATTAGAATGAACAGAATGAAATCAAATTTCTTAAACATATTTCATCAATACATTTCTAAGACGTTTAATTCATGATTAAACTTTAATTGGCCAGCAATTGAAAGCTAAGGAATACTGAAAAATTGTTTTGTAGCAGTACGAGTTTCATCAACACTACTAACTTTAGGGTTTTCAACAGTCGTTCAGGTAAAGTTAGCCTGTAGTGTAAATAGTCTTCAGACTGAAACACTTCAGCAAACTTCTCATCTCATCTCAGACCTTTGATCAGGTGTTCTTTTTATAAATCTCAGAGTGCTTTCATAACAAATAAAACAATAAAACATGGGAGTTTGTCTAAATTTATGGTGTCTATAACTGACTTAAATTATGATTAACGAATTACTTTCAGGGAATAATTACCTTGGTTTAGACTGTCAGAAAATTTTTTAAAGTTGGGGTGTTTGATAAGTTATGATTTATTTTGCGTAATGTTTGTAGTTATTATGCAGTGCTCTGATATAATTCCCTAAAGTTAAGGAAATCCTAGGACTGTCAGTTTTGTCTCATCAAACAGTTAAAAAGTGTTTGGAAAAAATGTATTAGAAAGGTTGCTCGTTTCGGTACAAAAACTTAGACGTTACCAGTCATTGGTCAGAGGACAACCGTCAAATTTTAGAGATACTTCATATACATGCCTGCTTTTTAGCAGCGTGTTTTAACCAAATGACATTATATTTTACTATATATCTAAAATGTTTCAATTTTAATCATGCGCCGTTAAAATTTAAATAACTTGAACAGCATAGAAAGCTCCTTTCTAATACTTGCTTTGTTTGCCAGCTCTTATTTTTAGATGAGGTATCAAAACAGGAAAAATGTTTACATAAAATATGCCATAAGAAATTTGTTGCTTCCTTTAGAATAAAGAAACGCAAACCCTTACAAATACACATAAAGTAAAAACCAGGTCAATAGCTGGTCCAAACCTTTCGGTTTCTCAACGTTAGAATAAAAACTTATGGATGAAGACTCCGTCAAGCGTTCTCGATTACAAGGTAATATAGGATAATAAAAAATTTAACCCGCTGAAAGAAGATAAAAACATTGGTTTATAACTCAGAAGCTCAATTTATTTTGCGATGACACAATTTTGGGACTGTTTCTAGAAAAAAACATAACGCTGGCAACAATATCATTAGTGTCCTTTTGATGCAATGAAATTAATATTTTGCTCTTAATATTCAGAGACAAAGAGTATCAGTGACAAAAGGTGAGATGTTTTCTAAACTTTGAACACAAGTTGAAGCTGTGTGACGCATTTCATGGTCCTTCACTCTGACTAAAGGATCTGCTCCACTACTTTTGTCTAAGCCCGATTCTCTGGTTTTGTTTTTTGAAAACAACTAATTACATTCACCTAGTAAAACGCCTGGTGTAGAGCTTTACGAGATGGCCAGACTTTGTAGGACAACCTACTGTGTTCCTGTTAACTGGTAGTATAACGTGACAGTTAAGCTACCAATATCAGTTGATCATAATGGTTCTAGCTGTGATGGGAATTTTATGATCTTCAAAACAACGCGGAAGTATTTTCATTTAAAGTCGCGTACTAAGTGGGACTAATTTTATTCTCGTTCGGGAGAAAATTGTTGGTATTCAAGTAAGCCTGTTAGTAGAGAGCTTCAAATGGGTGCTGAGTGATTGGGCTTTAGACAGTGAATGGTCTCTATACACCCAAAAACCGTCCAAATTGACATTACAAGTGAACTTAGCAATACTCTAATACCACCGTAAAAATTATGAGTTTGCTGCTGTTATCATTTCTTTCAGCACATGTTACTTTTCCTGGTTCAATTTATCTAACGTTCTCCATTTAATTTCGTTTAGTTCTTAGGCTCACTAAATCAACTGAACAACTTCCAGCGCTGCAGTAACCGCTGGTCCTGATAACTCTGAGATCTTACTATGGATCGAAAATTTTCACACAAACCTCGTGAAAATTAAATAAGAATTAATTATTCAGGTATAGTCCGTTTTCATATTCACAAAAGTCTGCGTTGGCTTAAGTCCTCAAACCATATCAGTAAGATAAAATTATTATACTAAATAACGAAAATGAAATAACTGCATTAACAGTGATACTGAGGTATGCAAAATACTTAAAATATGGTTCTAAAGGTATAACGTAGTATGAGAATCAATAATGAACTAATATACGTCATGCCATTGTAGGGCCAGCGAAATGTCACTAAGCCCTAGCCAAATCATCCGGCAGTCGGGTCATTGAATATCGAGCAAATCATCGATCCTCTTCAAGGTCAGGGATAACCAACGCGCATCAGTTAATGATACGCCATGGACTGGCGCATGCGGCAGTGGTCTTACTTTTGCTTGTATCTACTTTAATTAATATATTTCTGTAATAACGTTCTCTGTGTTGTACAGTCTTCAAAGCATCTGTAGTACCTTGATACGTCAATGGGGTAGTCCACGTAAGGTGCCGACCACGAAGTGTGACTTCGACGTTAGCTGGTTCGTCACACCATTCCCGTCCAATTCGAGTAGATCTCCAATCATTTTCGACATAGATCATCTACGTTGGTGATCTACACCATACATCGTCTCCAACCAATGGTAGTGGTTATTGCGCGAAAACCAGTCAAGTAGTCTGGGGTTACAAACATGGATTAGATCAGTGGTTAGTGGCTTTATGAACGGATAGTAAATACTGGTCTAGGCACCCATGGCTTTTATAGACCGACCCGTACGTCGAGGTAAGGGTTGTTTGAGTATACATAACTCATGCTCCAACCACCTTAGTCGACGAATATATACAAAGAATCATATAAAGAAGGCCTTAACTCCCAACCAACAGCATTGCAGTTTTCTCTTACGAAGCTGTGACGAGAAGAGAAATTGGTGAATGACATTTATTTAGTAACCATGACAAAAACTAGATTATGTTAACAATATATCAGAAATACAATAAGTAAACATCGTGAAAGTGAATAACTGTTAGTGGGTTTTGTCATATGTGTTCTTCCCTTTATAGCCTCCAACATAACCGGAAGCCGCTTTTTCATCCATGACATACTCTCGTCCCTCGATTCCTTTACCTTTACCAGTTTCAGTATCAAACCGTTCTTTATGAGAGCCTGTATATCCTTTTACATCAGTGAGACGTGATGTCGCCGAATCTTTACTAGCTTGAGTAGCTCCATGAGATTTTGGACCGGAAGTACTGATTATTTTGTTTTTTATTTCATTCGATGCGTCAGTTGTAGATATATTTTTTTGTTTTGCATACTCTTCTGCCATTGCTCCTTCGACAAATCTTACAAAATCAGAGAAATCAACGTCTTTTTTGGCACTTTTAAGATGTTTGCAAAAAGCAATATCGACGGCATTTGCATTAAATGATTTCGTATAGATATTACAGTCGGTACAGATTTTTTTAATGGTTTTGTCTGTTGCAGTTCTTGACCCTTTCTTAACTGAATCACAAAAGTCGTAAAATATTTTTTCCAGATCACCCATATTGTTTTAGAAGGAGAACGATCGGCTTTTTAAGAAGTAAAATCAACAGCCAAAATTTAATGTGTGCAGAAACTCTAACACCTTTTAAAATACCTCCAGATATAAAGCGACTGACAAAAATTGACTCTGCAAAACAAAACATCTCATCTAAAATGGATTGAAACCTAAACATCAAAATTGATATTGACAGAATGTTTGCTGCTGTATCGTAGTGAGACACTTGTGACAATTAATTTTAAACAAATATGACTTTACGTTGGCATGTGGCTAGTCCAGTGCCACTTTACTGTTCAAGGTTGGTATCTCTTTAATGTTTATGTAAAAGTAAGACTTGTTAAGGTAAATGAACCGTTGGTTGATGATGTTTGTGTCATTCTGAAGCTTGTCAGTGAATTACAGTCAGTAATTTGGTATCGTTGTTAGCAAAAACTTTGTTATGTCGCAATGACGAGTCGGGATTGTATATGTGGAGGTAAATAAATCACCAGAATAAATAGCTCTATGTGCCTTCAACACTGATGCTGATCTCATTAGTTTTACTGGACATGCCCTAGCTGAAGGCGCTTGGTCACGAGTCCACACTAGATCACGAGTGGGAATACAGTGCTACTCATCCCTCGTAAATACTAGCCACCTTACATCAAACGCTTCACATTATACCGATAATCTTCTTAATATATCTCTTAAACCATTCATACCTAACTTCTGATTCGATCGGTTCTATATCCCTTGATTAATAAGATGTTACTAAACAAAGCACTTTCAAATCCCGAGTATCCGTAGCATCTTTAGTTGTGAGCCCGACATGATCTGGTACATTAAACGATAAACTGTGGGCCTATTATTTGTTACACTATGAGATATCGATTTTCCTATTCACGTGTCGTAATACTATTTTTGCATCGTAATAAGGGAACAGACGCCCAAACTACCAGGGATTAAGACTCCTAACACCACCCTTCAACACTTACCATTCTAGTGTGATAATATCGGAGCCTGACTCTGCCACACAGAAGCTTACTTTCGCAAGGACGGCATGACAGACCCACGTGCGCAAGTCTTCGCAGTAGTAAAGGGGCTGCTGTGGGGTTTTAACAGGTACATTACACTGGTAATTTTATGATTGACACCTTGAAAAAGGCTGTCCTCAAACTTGAATATCTTACCGACCGAAAAAGTTTAGACCAACTCTCCCGCAATACCCAATTACAGTATGGACCGGCACCAGAAATTTCGCTATGTATATGGGTCGACGTACCTTTGACTAAAGCCTCTTTAGACTTCTCCAACGGGTGCAAGGGGTACTCACCCCATTCCAAAATAATAACAAAGCTGCTTCTGTAGATCGCGTTCCGGAGATCAATAAGACCACCAAACCGAGGTTCTTTCTGTCAAAAATATCCCCAAACCGCTCAAAATGACATTACGGATTCCTGTAATACTCTCGTTCGTTATCTTAGTATTCGTTATAATCGCGGACGCTACAAAGCTCCACAGAGAAGCCCATCACGAAAACGATTTGTCTCTATTCCTGTGGAGATAAATGACGCTGATTGATTTCAATATAGCAACACCTTTACTATATCTTATTGAAGTTGTAGGAAACTTCGAAACTCCGCCCCTCCCCCAAATTTCTCATTACGACAAACCATTCAGGAAAATTTCACGCCAACACGTTAACGGAAACCGTAGCTAGTGGAAATAGCTCCTTGTTATATACCACTGATGTGGTGGCGAAAATTTAATGTCTCGTCGACAATGACACAGAAGTAAGCGTACCCACCCCACGAGCACTAATGACCGTCTACAACATCTGGTCTTTAAACTACAGGCAGCAAACGGAAACGTGAACGCTAAATATGCCAAAATATATGTTTGTCTCAACGTGGGTTTGTGCGAACTCATTTGCCATATTTTCGATATGGCAGATTTTTCCTTATCAATTATTGGATTAGACCCTCTACAACACCATAATCTACTCATCATCCTAAGCAAATGTTGGTTAGTAGACGGAATTACTAAGTTATCTGTGAGCGGAACTTCACTTCCTAATTGTAGGTTATGTCCAATTACGGTTAAGCATATAATCGGTTCAAACTTCCAACAGATACCCAACAAATACTCTAAAATTTACCGAACACAGCTGAAACTACCACCTGTAGCCAACGATATTCCTACCACATCAGGAATACATGACCAGCTTACTGACTAGTTCCCGAAGAGCTAGGGTTGGCCAAAAGTGAATTCGAGCACATAACAGACTTTGGATTTATCTGACCATCAAACAGTCCATAGGTACTTCTTCCCAAACATCTACGACCTGACAGCAACTTTGAAAGGTATAACTATCTTCAGAAAACCTGACTCAGTCAAAGCGTACGATCAAATTCCTTAGACTACAAAAGACATTCCTAAAACGTCTATCATCATACCTTTTGGTCTCTACGAAATATTTCGCACTCCTTTTGACTTAAGAAATGCTGCACAAATATTTCACAAATTTCTCGGTTACGACTTCGCGCGTGTATGCTGATGACTGCTTGACCGCACGTCAGCATCGAAATTCCTATCCACGACATCTGGACCTTGTTTTCGGACGCCCGCAATATCATGACTATCGATGACTGAATGAGCAAACCATTCCTGATCGTTACTATTTGCCTCATATTCACCATTTGATAGTTACATTGAAAGGTACAAATGCCTTTTCGAAAATCGACTTGGTTAAATCATACAACGGAATTCCTATGGCTTCTGACGACATTTCTAAAACCACTGTTATCAAAACTTTTAGTCTCGACGAATTTTGGCGCATGTATTTCAGTCTAAGAAATGCTGCAGAAACTTTCCAGAAATTCATCGATGACGTTCCCCGAGGTCACAACTTCGTTCACGCGTATGCTGAATAATGCTCTATTGCAAGTCTGGACAGAGGATCGCAGCTCCAACATCTGGATCTGGTCTTTGAATGACTACAAAAGCACGGCATTGCGGTAAACATTTAGAAATGCCAAATCGATATCGACTCTCTAGATTTTCTCGAACACACTATTAGTACTTAAGGCATCCTGTTACGGGAGAACTGAAGACTTTTGACGGATTAAAACCTTTTATTGTACATTAATAATTTACTGTGCTTTTGGATGTAATTGTTTTACTTAACTTTTGAACTTGTTTGTTTATATCATTATTTCGGACATTTTGGTTTGTCTTTGGTTTGGTATTTTGGTGCTCCTTTTGTCTTTGGTTTGGTATTTGGGAGTTTTGCTCCGGGAACCTACAAAATTGAAGAACGACATTTGGTCGATTACTTGTGAATTACGAATAAACTTGGTACCTGATTTGGAGTTTTGGTTCTTTTGCCTACTTGGGTTCGTAATTTGCAAGTAGATCGATAGTCCGTACTTCAATAACTGGAACGAGCAAAACTTGGACGTAACAAAAAAGGTTCTTCAATTATTGGTTCTGTGTTCATACCTTGGGTTTTCTGGATATTTTGGGTCCGAATTCCTGGTCTTATTGGTCGATTTCGTTTGGATTAATTCAGATTTGTTTTGGCAATTGATTATTTGGAACAACAAATACGATGGAAACACGGAGTAAAAGGCTGAAGGAAAATGACGAAATGGATGGTAACATTTCTAAAGCTGTTTGTGGTATGTCTGATGTTATTGATGATAAATGTGATGATGTTAGTCTTAATAGTATGTCCTCTAGCCAGCTAAGTACTTCCAGATTAAAGTTAGATAAGGCATTACTGAGGAAAAGGAATTTAGAGAAGAGACTTGAGTTAGAACGGCAACTTAAGATGTTAAATCTACAAGAAGAGGTTGATATCGCTGAACTAGAATGCAAGGCCATCGAGGACGATGGACGATTACCCGTAGATAAATGTGGGACAAATGCTAAAGTGGAAAATTATTTGAATCATGATACTGGGTGTAATAATCACTCAGGGAAGGTCTGTGACATCTCAAATGTCGATTGGGTTGAGGAACTGAAGGACACGTTACATACAATGGTTAGTAACATGTCTTTACCTAAGATCGATATGATGTACTTTGATGGGCAACCAGGTCAGTATTACCGTTTCATTAGTCAGTTTAATAGTCTTATAGAGAGTAAATTGTCAGATAAGGGCCAATTGTTGTCGTATTTGTTATACTATTGTAAGGGAAAGGCCAGGACAGCTATTGAAGCTTGCATTTCATTGCCCATTCATCTGGGCTATGATAGAGCTAAACAGATTTTGTATGATTTATTTGGTAAAGAACATCTTGTGGCACGAGAACTTATTATTGAGTTATTAAACCATAAATCTGTCGGAGGATCAGCTGACTTATTAACTGACTTTGCGATTAAATTGCGTAATGTATGTATAACGTTGATGGAAATGGGATACATGTCTGACGTTAATTCTACGGCTAATTTGGAGGTAATAGTTTCATGTCTACCACTAGAATTGCAGAATAAGTGGGTGGAAGTCGCCGATAAAATCATGATGCATGGGAAGGAGCCGAGCTTCGAAGAATTTGTGGTCTTTGTAGAAGAGAGGGCCAGAATTGCCCGAACCCGTTATGGTAGATTAGTACAGTGTAACTCAAGGTTCGGTAAAAGGAATCCTGAAGGCCAAGCTGATAAGAGATCACGCTTTCATGCAATCAGACGAGACCCAAATAACTCAGTCAAGGTAACACGTTGTGAAATCTGCGTAGGTGATCATGAGGCGACAGATTGTCCAAGGTTGGCAAAAATGAATGTAAAAGAAAGGAGGCAGGAGGTAAGAAAACGTGGTCTATGTTACTTATGTTTAAGGAAAGGTCACATAGCTATGACATGCAACTCAGGCATCAAGTGCGACGTTGAGAATTGCAAGGTTGGGCATAATTCATTATTGCATATTGATAGTATTGATAACCATGTGGTGAACCTAAATAAGGATTGGAACTCCTCAAAGGTTTGTTTGGGGATCGTTCCAGTCAGACTATACGGTCCCAAAG